AATGAAATATATGAAACTCTTTTCAGACTTCATAATTTGAATATAGTGGTTACATTTATGTGGGTGCCTGCTCACAGGGGAGTTAAATAAAATGAAACAGCAGATTCATTAGCAAAAGAAGCAATCAAGCAAGAAAATACAATGGACATTTTATTTAGCAAAGCAGAAATAAAGACAATAATTAAAAGTAAAATCATCAGTAAATGGCAAGATAAATGGAACAAGGGAAGTACAGGCAGACATCTTTATAACATCCAGAAAGAAGTGGGAAGGATGAGGATGACAGGGCGAAGTACCAAGGAGGAAAATATAATATCAAGGTTAAGACTGGGTCACACAAGACTAAATAAGACATTACATCTCATTGGAAAACATCCCACAGGTCTGTGTGAGTATTGTCAGGAGGAGGAATCAGTAGAACATGTTCTATGTCACTGCCAAAAATATATTATAGAAAGAGAAATATTCAGAAGGACACCACAGGAGATACTAGATGCAAAGCAAATACTCGGTCAAACAGGAAATTATAATTCTTTAATTGTATTCTTGAGGGAAACTGGGTTAATAAATAGAATATAAAGTATAATTGTTATTTTTATTATTAATAATGGGTTTTATTTATTTATTTTTTTATAAAAATTATTATTATTTTTTATATATAAAGTTCTGTTAGTCACTCTGGTCCACACTCCAGTATAGTAGGTGGCGGTAATGCACCTTAACGTTGGATGCCACCCGCCATAAAACAAGAAGAAGAAGAAGAAGTTGTTGTTGTTGGCAGAGGGCTGCTCATGAGTTGTACGACATTTCAAAGAGTTAAATGAGCGCAACTGCTTCCTCAGACACAGCCATGGAGGACGAATGGGAAGAAGAGGAGCAGCTGGTTGTGGCGGAACTGTCTGGGATGATCAGCTCTGATTTAATCTCCAGTCGGCAGGGCGCGTGTAAGATCGTGGACATTGACAGCGAGCAGCCCATGGTGCAGGCGGGTCGCTATCTGTTCGCCGGAGTACGAGGATGCCATCGGAACATGTGCGATTTTTGAAGAGGACGGTGCAGGTTCTAATTCAGCTCTTAAATACAAATGTCACACAATGAAGACACTAATGCTTCAGCGGACGTTTCTGTCGGAGAGGAAGGAGGATGAGCCCCTCTCTAGCAGAATAGAGGTGCTGGCTCTCCACGAGGAAGAATCGTTCGGCAGGAAGAGCGCAGTTTGTCACTACCTGGATCCCATCGACACTGAGAAATCTGTGCTAGACGAATCTAACGATTGCGAGGATCCAGAGATGAGCGACGAATCAGCGGATGAAGTGGAGGAGACTGAGACCGACGCGGGAGCCACGCTTCTGGAGAGCTCCGCTGAGCTGCTCTGAACTGGCGGCTGCACGAGAAGGGGACGACGGCTCATGAAAGACTGAAAGACTGATTTCTGATCATGTATATACTGCATCGTCTAAATATACATTTTCTGCTTAATAGAAGTGGTTTTGTATTTTGTTTACATAAATACATACAGTGTATGTGTCTGTCCCATTTGCGTATTATTTTTATTAAAAGCACATCTATCTATCTGTTATTTAAGTTATGATAAAAGTTATTCAAATTCAGTGGTTCGCTACTGAATCATTCAGGTTAAACTCAAGTTTTGCTATTTGCACCTCAGTATTGTACATTAACAGGATGCGATAGTGTAAATGATTTTATTAAAATTATTCAACAGACGCTGCCTTATTGGGACAACAAAGCTCTCCCTATAGCCTACCTACCCAATTAATACATCATTATTAAACATTCGTTTATTATGGCTTGGCCCTATTCCTCTTCCGTATAATGGTGTAATTTTGTGTTGCATGTGAAAAAAAAACAATTAATCTAAAAGTGACAAACGCATCCCAACTTGCCAGCAGCAGGGAGAATCAACATCAAGCCTAGACAGAAAAAAAAAAACCTGTTATTTAAGTTATGATAAAAGTTATTCAAATTCAGTGGTTCGCTACTGAATCATTCAGGTTAAACTCAAGTTTTGCTATTTGCACCTCAGTATTGTACATTAACAGGATGCGATAGTGTAAATGATTTTATTAAAATTATTCAACAGACGCTGCCTTATTGGGACAACAAAGCTCTCCCTATAGCCTACCTACCCAATTAATACATCATTATTAAACATTCGTTTATTATGGCTTGGCCCTATTCCTCTTCCGTATAATGGTGTAATTTTGTGTTGCATGTGAAAAAAAAAAAATTAATAATCTAAAAGTGACAAACGCATCCCAACTTGCCAGCAGCAGGGAGAATCAACATCAAGCCTAGACAGAAAAAAAAAAACTTTAAGTAACAACTAAAGCACATTTGATGGTAAAGGAAGCTAAAATGTCCAGAGAGCCTGAACACAGGAGGAGAGAGTGAGAATGGAGAATACAGGATTAAAGCTACAGTACAACCGTAAGACAATTGTGATAAACCAGAACAAGTGAGGAGAATTTGAAAAGAACATCTCAGAATAATGCTGAATAAAACCAGCAACAGTCAGGTCCCAGAAGTAAAAATTCCTTTCATTTTCTGTATAGGGGAATCGAGTTTTAATGATAACTCGCAAACCTTCAAAGACAGACCTGCTGTGTATGAACTCAAGGTTGTTAATCGATGGTACATGCTTTTGCAGAAGCCATCGGTTTACATAATTTCAATTTATAAAAAAAAAAAAACAGTTTTAACAGCAGAATTCCTGGTGAAAATTACACCGCCCATGATTCCGCACAAAAAAATATATCAATCAGTCACAGCAAGCAAAATTGCACCAAAAATTGAAATTTTTCACTTCCATGAAGCACAGTGAATGACAATCAAATCAGTCTCGCTACACTCAAAATACTTCCAAGATTTATACTTTTGAATTTTATATTAACTATTTTTGATTGTCATTCACAATGCTTCATGGTTTTTTCTCCTCAAAGCCATTAAAGGGGTCATATGATGCGATTACAAGTTTTCCTTTCTCTTTGGAGTGTACTCTAGCGGTTAATAAACAGAACTGCACATATCCCGCAGAAGAACATTCCAACCGGAGCTACTTCTCTAAGTTTATGTCTATGGCGATTCACGCAGGTATGTGTTACTCCGCAGCGGTGACGACCCGACCAGGCTACAATAGTCCAAATATAAGTACTTATAAGTGTACCGTAGTGATTCGGAATACGACAAAAACGCGGTTTGGAAGATGAATTCATGATGTACTCGCTTATTATATACATTTTGCAAATTTTGAACAGAAAAAGTTACATAGTGCTGCTTTAAGTACAGTCCTGTACCTTTTGTCTTTTTGTCTGATTTTCAAATATTTTTTTGCTTAATAGTAATGTAATGTTCTGATTCATCTTATAGCTGGTTGGCTTTGTTTATGGCTTATACTCCTTTAACATGGACGTTTTAAATGGAAAATTGCTTCTGGAAACAAAGGCGGCTGAAAAAGTGGCACACTGTTGCATGCTCTTCTTTATTGTAGGTAGAAAAAAAGGGCAAAGTGTTGTTACATGTATCAGACATAGTTTTAAATGCAAATCTGGGTTTATTATTAAGTGTATAAACCTATACAAAATGGAATTGAGGTTTAATACCCCACATTTTAAAGGGTATAACTGTTTGCTTCAGTGTGAGTTAAAATTGTGTCATAATACATGAAATATTCTCCTCTGTTCTGACATCATATAACACAATTTTTGCTCAAAGGAATGGACTATACACACATACACAGAACGCAGTCCAAAGGTCTGTTCCTCAATCCGGCAGAAACATGAAAGTTCATAACAGTTTGGTTTTGTCATAACACTCCCCAGACCTCCTCAAACGCTGAACACATCTTGGCACAGGTCAGAGCGGCAGACAGAGGATAGTTACTGATGGACACAGTCTTCTCTGTGTAGTCAGCATTCACCTATGATAGGATGGAGAGACAGATCAGTGATTTATTTCAAAAGCGATGACACAATTCACATTTATTAAATTATTTTCTATGCATGGGGAATATATTTCATTTAGCTGAGAGGAGAAGTGGGAACAGACTCACTGTTCCATGTGCAAATGCACCAATGACAACAGCGGCAGGTCCATCTTTAGGGACAATTGTTCTGGGACACACAGCATCTCCTGCTTTGAACGATGTCGAATATCGGGGGCATCCAGGAGGCAGGTGGTCCGACACTGGATTTTTAATCAGCCTTAACAAACGCTGAGGACCATCAGCTGCTCTCACACTCAGCTTGTGCAGAAGCTGGACTATAGGAGGACAAGTAGTAATAAGATAAACTTACTCTGAATCTGAGATACTACAGCATTTTCTGTAATACAAAACTGACAAAATTGAATTGATTTGATTACAGTAAACGTGCAAATGGAGTGAATTTACCCATTAGTCCACAAAATCGTGCAAAAGTGCGAGGAATTCTTGTCTGTGGGTTGATCTCGATCAAAACATTCTTCTCTGTGTGAATGTACACTTGAAGCAGTCCAGCTCTGTTCAAAGGACTGTCCAGTAACATCAACAGGCACTGTGGGAAAGCAGACATTTTTATTGGGACAAATAAAAATCTCTCAGTTTTAAACTACAAAAACCATAGGGTCTTAGTTGTCAGAACATCTTTGCAAGATGGCTTGTTTTTTTACATTTTATTCTCAGTGCATTCAAAACATATTTATAATAAGTTGTAACTTATTATTTTTCAACTAAAACCATAGTGCATCTGATCAATAATTTCTCATTAAAAAGTGAAAAAACGTAAACCTTTTGCATTTGATCGTATTACTACATTTCAAATGTAACATGAACTACGTTTAACTCGGATGCTTGGTAAGAGTTGAAGAGCTTTACCTGATGTGTGATATCAGGGCGAATCTTCCCAGGGTCTCTTCCACTTTTCATGATCATACTCTTATGTTGATCGCAGTTCAGCAACTCAAATGTCTTTCCAACCTGTATAGAGATACGTTTACATTTAAATACTGAGACCTACAGTTAGGAGAAGCATTATTGTTAAAGCTGTAGTGGCAATTCCAGTGAATAACACGCGATCCGGTGCTTAGTTGTTCTTTACCTTTACGGTTTCAAGCGTCGCTCCTTCTAAAACAACAACAAACCGCTTTTCCGCCATCTGATCGTGCAAACTTCTTTGCTGTTTTGCCGGTTTTGGATCATATTCATCTAAATGCTCCAGACCACGCTTGTCTCCAGCGTGTGCAGCCATGTTGACACAGAACTCCGACGCATCAAATGTGCGTCACAACAACACGTTTGTTCAGAATGGCGCTAACTGATGACGGCAACACGGTCTTATCTAAAATACTTTATTCACGTTATATAATGAAATATGTGTTTTCTGGTGTAAATTGAGCCGTTATTGTTTCACGTAATTACAATGTAAAACTTAGTTCTGAAATACATTAAATGCTATGAAAACAATAATACAGAATTGATAAACTCTCTCTCTCTCTCACACACACACACACACACACACACACACAAACAATGGATTTGACCATTTTCTCTTAGAAACTGAAATAATTCATAATCATGAGAAAGACATTTCCAAATTATTAGGACTTTCCTGGGTCAAAATGATTTATTTAGTAAATCTATGTATTTTGCATTTTAATGTAATCTCTTTTTTGCTTTTGAGATTAAGATAATTATATATTGTTCAATTTCATGTACATAATCCTTTAATTTTTGGTACTGATTAATGTTCTGCTCTAAAACATTAAATAGTATGTTATATGTATGAAATTCCTTGACTACAGACCAAAAAGCACACATGCAAAAAATACTTTTTTTTTAATGTTTCATCCAAATATAATACATTTCAAAAATAAGAGTGGCATTCATGATACATTCAGACTTTAGACATCAAACTGTATTTACAATAGAGAGAATAAAGAGCACAATTATCCATCATTAATGAATTACAACTGGAATCACTTTTACTTGGTGAAATGCTCTCCTTCCTTGGTACAAATTTACCATAAATCTTGTATAGTAACCAGTTTAACTGTGGTATTTACAGTAACCACATGTAAACCAGTGTAACTCTGTAAACAAACTATGCTAGTTGTAGTTAAAAAAAAAATGTATGAGATTCCCTCCCTTCCCAAAAATATTATTTTGTATGAATCAACATTTCCCCCAAAATTCAATACTATAGTAAAAGCATGGTCAATTTTCTAAGTGCTGTGAGAGAACACATCCACCAAGCAGGCTTTAACTGTTCATCATTCTGTACATGATTTATCAAATGTGATAATATTGCTTAAATGTATGTATATGTGACTTTTCTAAACCCATTACTTAACAAGTGAATATAAAAAGCTTTATGATCTCTGGAATGACCTTCTTTTACTAAACAGTGAGCAGCTCCAATGGTTCAATAGTCCCAAACAAGCTCCAAAAGGTCTCAGCAGACATGAGTTCCTCCCAGATTCAGTGCAGCGTTCGACTCTGACACATCTCACGAGGATAACTCTGAGATTTATTCACACAGGTCAGCGTTTTGGGGCAGAAGCCGGAGTTTGAACACAGGACTGTCACCAGGAAGGAAGGTTCAAAGGGCATGAACTCATGGTAGGAGTCAGCGTCACACGTTACCTGTAACATATGATTTGAACATTTTGATTAGCACACATCCTTGAGTGCTTATACATTTCTCATTGACATTCTCTGTACCTTTGTAAAGGAGGAGAGTAACAGGTGAAGGTAAGAGAGGCCTGATAGAGATGAGTCTGCTGGATGCCTTGTGAAACTCATTTTATAAGCCTGTTAAGAAACAAATATGGAACATAACATGTTGAAAAAGATAAAAGTTGGGTTCATCGTTAAATAGCAATGAAAAGAGTGTTGTTGTAGATTAGAGCAGGGGTTTTCAAACTGAGGGCCGCAAGGGAGTGCGTTTAAAAGCTTAGAGAACAACAGTGTAAATAATGTAAAACTAAATAATTAATAAAACATTTTCTGATAAATAAAAAAAAAAATAGGTTAAAATAAATAACAAAAAATTTGATTAAAATAAAATTGAAAATAGATAATAAATATAACAGTACAGTACTATGGTGAGTCAGAAAAACAATATTTTTACTTAAAGGAATCGTTCACCCACAAATTTAAATTGCTGAAAATACAAGATGTAGATGAGTTTGTTTCTTCATCAGAACGGATTTGGATAAATTTAGCATTCCATCGCTTGCTCACCAATGTGTCCTCTGCAGTGAATGGGTGCCGTCAGAATGAGAGTTCAAACAGCTGATAAAGACATAAGTAATGCACATAACTTTAGTCCATCAGTTCACTTCTAAAGTAAAAGATGTGAGCTTGTAAGAAAAATCCATCATTAAGGAATTTTAACTTTAAACTGTCGCTTTGGCGATAGCATAATCCATAATACCATAATAACACTTCCAGCAGTGAAAAAGTGCATCACATCAAAGTCCACCTACATATTTGTTTAGCACTATTTTGGATTGTTTTTGCTTGTAAATGGTGCTTGATCTGTGCATATTTTTCCCCTGATTCAGACGAGTTGACTTTTCCACGGGAGAAAGCAATATTGTGGATAAAGAACTCATATTTTAGCCAGAAGCAAAAGTTTCAAGGTTAAAAATGTCTTGATTGATGGATTTGTTTCTTACACACAGCAAACACGCAGCTTTTCACAACAAAAGATGTTACTTGATGGACTGGAGTTGTGTCGGGTAGCCTACTTTATCTGCTGTTTGAACACTCATTCTGACGGAACCCATTCACTGCAGAGGATCCACTGGTGAGCAAGTGATGTAATGTTAAATTTCTCCAAGAAACAAACTCACCTACATCTTGGATGGCTTGAGGGCAAGTAATTTATCAGCAAATTTTCATTTTTGGTGAACTACTCTTTTAACGTAAACAAAATATTTAGCAAAAAATATTTTAGACTTTTTAGGATGAGTCATATTTGTGGGTTTGTGGCATCTAAAAGATTGAAAACCCCTGGTCTAGAGTAAGTTAGCTTACATCCAGTGCCACTTGTAGAGCAGAGTACTGCACCCAAACCTCCTGCTGTTTAGAGGGGGGAAGAGAGAATGTGCCGACCCGTCCTGGATCCCTGGTCACACTCAGATAATGGGACCATATGCACATGCTGTCTGACTCTGGATTGTTGGCCTGCATGTGGACTAGTGATGAGAAACAGAAGGTGTTTAAAAACACTCCCACACTCACACATGCACATTCACGCTGAGTGATTGAGGTCCATACTGACTTACTATCAGGGAGCAGAAGGTGGAGTAGATCTTTAGCCATCAGAGATCCCAGTGTGCCATAATTCAGTGCCCTATATAATATTGATGTAAATTTTCATGCATGCATATAACATCTTCAGCACATAAAACTAGAAGAGTGGATTAAAAAATGAGGCATAAAAACAGGAAAATTGAAGACATTATTTCAGGGAGCATCAAAAGATCAGATTTCATTCATTATGACTCACAGTAACATTTCAGAATATACCACTATTTTACTAAAAGTGGTGCAAAATATATTTTGGAATGTAATAGTATTTCCACTGAATGAATATTCTGCTTCATGCTGTATGCTGTCACTAGATACCTGGGATATGAGGAATGGAAGAAGGGTGACACAAACATTCCAACAGGGATGATGATGTCAATACCAGAGATGGATGGAGTGACAGACAAACTAGAGGTGAGGGAAGACAGATATGCAAAATGGATGATGACTTAAAGTTGGCATCAGATGTTCTAAATGCATATTATTGAACTAGTCATCCATGCATATGATCAACCTAAAGCTCGCATTCAGATCTTCCACCATCCAATCAACAACCCATGGATAGAATCAAGTCTCTGCCCTATACTTTTTCATTTTCTATATAATCCATTTCACTTGGATGTACATCACAATACGGAGAGTAATATCTGTTGCTACTCTATACTATCAGAATAGTGACAACCCAAGAAAGATGAGAAAAATTAAAATAAATATGAGACTAAAATTTGAATTAGTTCATATGAACGTAATATGTACGTAATATGTACAGTTTTTATGAAGTAAAAACTGTTATTTAAATTAGTTGAGACTTTTGAAGATAAGCAATATTTGCATAATCCATGGATATAAAATAAGTGCAAATAACTTAGGTCACATGAGCATCATAATGTTTGAGTTGTATCTTATAAATACATATTTTATTTAAAAACAATTCAAGAAAAATAAAATAATTATAATACATTCATATAAAAAAATATGTATATATATAATACAGTTTACTAAATAGTGGAATAATTAATAATAAACATTAAAATATATATATAAAAAAACTAAAGAATATTTTCTCTTATTCCATGGTCTGTCTGAATACTGTATTCTGATTGGCTGGCAGGTATGCAGTAAAACCGTTTAATGCACAGGTAGTTCCAAGTCAGTTTAATCACCGTTCTATATTAATGCGCTGCTTTAATTGATGCACACTAACCAACACGCATCACTCTTTGCCTCCACGTTGTGCATTTAAAATCCTTTAACATATTTGACATTGACAAAACATTACCCTAAATGTCATTGCAAATATGAGAGCACTAACCCTTCAGTCTGTGTGCCGTGTGAGAGCAGTCTGCTCCTGCTCTTCTGCTCCAGCACCAGCATCTGCAGGTAGTTGGAGAAAAAATCCTCCTCGCTCAAAACCACCTAGTGCAGAGACAGAGAGAGAGAGAGAGAGAAACAGTCAATGAAGCCCTCTCAATGTGAAGGAAGGACTCAATAAATGAAAATGTTTCATTCACTACACTGACTGTTAATTCACTCATCGAAATTAATTTCCAGTCATTAATTTACCTCTGCATAGAGATGGTTGAGTTCTGCATGATTGAGGTTATTTGTTTTAGCGGAGAGTCTTGGATTAAGAGATTTTATCTGAAAAATATACAAAATTATCTGAACAATAATCCATACACAGTTTCAGTAGGATATGGTTTTGTATATGATTCACAACATACCTTATTCAAAATAAAGGCTGATGATCTGTCGTCCCTCCAGCTCAAATCTGTTAGTTTCTTCTTGAGGGACAAATAAACATCATAAATCAACTCCTCAGCCTGGCAGAGACAGAAAAACACCCGTGATATCAAAATGTGACTTTGCTCTATTAAATTCATGTTCACGAGGTCCAGCCAAAATGTACCTCTTTCTGTGCATGTCTTTCTCTAATTGCATGACTGAGTAGAGTGTCAAACCCTCGCTCCGTCTGCTGAACGCATCGCAACCAGCGTGGGATCTCCTAAAACCAATAGACGGTATAAGTGAGAGAAATATATAACGCAGTCTGCACTGCTTCACTTTACACAAACAGGCATTGTGGGTAATTTATTCAATGCAGACCCACCTCCTGTGTGTCTCCAGTTGCAATGGAAAAGTTTCTCATTGTTCGGAAGAACCTTGAGTCCAGCGCGGGAATGAGCGTGTGCAAAAGACTAAAGATCATGTATGTATGAAGTGAACTGCTGCAGATATTTACACACAAGCACATATAGGGAGAAACAAACATTTGTGTTAATAATCGATATCTATCACATTTGCTTAAGAAAATATGACTATAAAGTGACTTACGTGCCCATCGTCTCATGCTGGACTTGCCATTTACTGATTGTCTGGGACATGTGGATAATGTACGGGAGATTGTGAACTAAAACAAGATCTGATTGGCTGATAGGAAGAGGCTGAAATGTGGCTTGTAGGCAAGCAAGCCAAGCAATGGCTGGAGCTCGAGTCTGTGAGGGACAGGAAGTCCATTAGTACACATTTCAGGTACTGTATATTATTTGGGTTAATGACATGACACTCATTTTTTATTTTTTTTGTCCAGATCTATCATTGTATTCAAAAATATATTAAAAATGCAGTTAATTCCCTATAACTTGAATAGGCCTAGACATCTTCTATGATACAAATGTTTTTAATTTCTGAATTAATTTCTGACATTTTTAAACCAGGCATAAACTTGAAAAAAACATTTATCATTATTTCTTAGAAAAATATTATATCAAAACTTCACTACTTATTAATATTTGAAAAACTTCTGTCTGCCAAATCCAAGTCACGTGGTTCGAAAAACAAAATCATCTTTTCTGGTGTTGTTATTGTTATATAGCAAAATATTAAAGTGTACACTCAAATTAAAATGGAAACTGAAAATAAACAAAAATAAAAGGTAATTCAAAATACTAATAAATACTATAATAGTTATTTAAATAATACTAAAATTACACTAGCAACATGCAAAACTATATGCAGAAAAACACAAACAGGAAATAATATGAAAGAGGCATTGCAGTCCCTGAAGATCAATAAGTCTTAAAATCCCTAGTAAAAAAAAAAAACTATGCCATAATTTATTTAAAATACATTTATTTCATACTAAGTATACTTCAAATCAATTTGCATATTTATAGACATATCACTTTAATTATAATTAAACTTTGTTTTTATTCTTTATTGCACAATGCACATTTCTTAATATTAAGTCTAAAATGTGCTTTAATATCAATATGAATAAAGATTGCACGATCTCTGTATAATATCAGTCTTTAAAGTCCTCATGAAATCAAAATTGACTTTATTTCCTTAGCACACATTGCTAGTCTTGAGTTGAACAATTCGAGGGGTGAGAACCAGAAGGGCGTAAGTGACATTTTGGGTTGGGGCATTTTGATA